TTATTACTACCTACTCCAGGGACCCACACACAATAAATAATTGTATTAAATTTGTGAGTCAGGGGCCAGAGCAACAGTATAGGGGGTCAGGCACTTGTCTTGTATGTGGCCAACCTGGGTTCAATCTCCAACATCCATATGGTTTTCTTAGCTCTGCCAGGAGTGATCCCTGAGTGGCAGAGCCAGGAGTTAGTCCTGAGCAGTGCTGGGTGTTGTTAACTTTTGTGTCTGGTGTGAGATAGTGGTCTTGTTTTATTTATTTATTAGTTTTTGCATGTGGCAGTTTTACTCACATCATTTCTTAAAGGGATTTTTCAAACTTCACGTTATGCTCTTAGTTCTTTGTTCATAAATTATTTGACTATATTTGTGTTGGTTTATTTCTGGGCCCTCAGTTCTGTTGCATGAATCTGTATATGTCTGTCTTTATTTTAGTAGCATGATGTTTTTATTGCTATCACTTTATAGCATATTTTAAATGCCTCTGATTTTGTTCTTCTCAGGTTTGTTTCTTCTACTTGTAATCTTTGGTAATTCCAGAATATTAATTCCAAGTGTAGTAGATTTAGTAATTCCAAATGTTTTTTGTGTGGAGGGGGAGGTAAGGTTGGGCCCACGTGTGGCAGTGCTCAAGGGTTATTTATGGCTCTGTGTTCACAAGTGACCCTCAAAAGTGCTCAGGGGATCATATGTGGTGCCAGGGATTTGAACCCAGTCTTGGCTGCTGCAGTCACATGAAGGTAAGATGCATTTTGAACTTCTGATCTCTAAAACTCAAAGATAATGAATTTATATTGTTTCAAGTCACTAAATTTATGGTCATTGGTTAGGGCAGCTTAGAAACTAGGTAGGTTAGAAGGATGTTCTTCTGCAACACTGACACAGTACTGTCAAAATCCTCTCAAAGCACCCTGGACTTTTCAACTCTATGTCGACTTAAATAATAGATTTCAGAACTCAGAAGAACCTTCATCAAAGACTTGTGGTAAAGGAGCGTGTCTAAGGTTACATGGTTAATTAATTGTAAAACCAGGGCAGGAACCAGGGAAGTTTCCAGTTTCTCTTGTATGTATATGAACGAACGACAGCGAGCTGTCTAAAAATGAGACATCTCCTAATACATTAGAGTGTGTTTATGTTTACTATGATATGCAGAAGTGACTTAGAAAGGGGCAGGACTTGTTATTACACATTTTACTTTATAGATGTAGATTTTTATTTTTAAAAAATATTACAACATTTGAAGGCTAATTAGAGTAACTACCTGGTTAGGAAACAGAAGAGGAAAGATTCAGTATTTTTGCCTGGGGAGTGAGGTCGGGTAGAGATTTTTAGATTCAAAAGAGAGATTTGAAAGGTTGAGCTGTACATTATTAAAATATGGAGTCCAGGACCACTCATGAATGATAACTCTGAGAAACTTAGCTCATGGCTAGCCCTGAGAAGAACAATGCCCTGGGGAGAACCAACTAAATCATTCTCTTCAAGGATCCTAAGCATTTGGATAGGGTGATATTGTTTGTTGGTGCCTTGAAGTACCAACAAAAGAAAATGAAAATCCTCTCTGGGGAAAAAAATCAACATGGGTCTCACATAATTTCCTCAAGTATTTCAAATATGATTTTTAGCACAGAAAAGAAATCTAGGTGACAAGATAATATGAGGTCCAACATAGCAATGTTTGATAAATAACTAGAATAGAGAACCATCAGACCTAATAGGATTCCAGATCTTAGAATTATCCGTGACCCAGATAGTATACCAGTGATGTCTAGCATGTTCAAAGAGATAAAAGCTAAGACTGATTGTTTTGTAAAGAATTAGATGTTATAAAAAAAAAAAAAAGTAAGCCTGGGGCAGGGAGAGATAGCTTAATGGGTCCAGCAGGCTCTCCAGACAGAAGGCAGGGGATTTATCCCCAGCACTGCATGGCCCCCCAAGCACTGGTGGAGGTGACTCCTGAGTGCAAAGGTGGAAGTAGTAGCTTGGCACCACCAGGTGTGATTCAAAAACCAAAACCTGGGGCTGGAGGGATAGCACAGTGGGTAGGGCTTTTGCCTTGCGTGGTTGCCTTGCATAGTAAGGCATGTATTGCTGAGCCACATCCCTAACCTCTAAACTTATTTTTAACATTTTAAGTTGCCTTGCGATCGGCCAACCTTGGTTCAATTCCTAGCATCCCATATGATCCCCTGAGCACCGCCAGGGGTAATTCCTGAGTGCAGAGCCAGGAGTAACCCCTGTGCATTGCCAGGTGTTACCCAAAAAGAAAAAAAACAAAAACAAAAACCAAAAACTCATAAAAAAAAAGAAGACTAATAGATTTTCAGAAGAATAGCTACAGAAATTCTAGACTTAAAAATTATTTTAGGGGCTGGAGAAATAGCACAGCGGGTAGGGCGTTTGCCTTGCACGTGGCCGACCCGGGTTCAATTCCCAGCATCCCGTATGGTCCTCTGAGCACCTCCAGGAGTAATTCCTGAGTGCAGAGCCAGGAGTAACCCCTGTGCATCGCTGGGTGTGACCCAAAAAGCAAAAAGAAAAATTATTTTAAAATAAATTTGTTTATTTTACTATTCAGGGGTTGGAGCGATAGAACAGCGGTAGGGCGTTTGCCTTGCACGCAGCCAACATGGCCGACCCGAGTTCGATTCCTCTGCCCCTCTCGGAGAGCCCGGCAAGCTACCGAGAGTATCTCGCCCGCACGGCAGAGCCTGGCAAGCTCCCCGTGATGTATTCGATATGCCAAACACAGTAACAAGAAGTCTCATGATGGAGACGTTACTGGGCCCACTCGAGCAAACTGATGAACAACGGGAGGACTGTGACTGTGACCGTGAACTATTCAGGGGGTTAAACCCAGGCCTCATGCAGTAAGGCATGTATTGCTGAACCACATCCCTAACCTCTAAACTTATTTTTAAATTTCACATATTTCTTTTTGGTTTAAGGGCCATACCTGCCTCTGCTCAGAGTTTGCTCTTGGCTCCTGGCAAACCTTGAGGGATCAAATGTGGTGCTGGGCATTGAACTGGGTTGGCTGAGTACATGGCAAATCTTTTAACTACGGTACTATCTCTCTGCCCCCTAAAATTATTTAAAAACAAACAAACAAACAACAATTAATAGCTCAATAACGAATTTAATATCATAAGAGAGTAATCTCTCACTTTGTGTTGGGGGGGAGCTCTTCAAAAGATAACGCATGGGAGAGACAAAAGGATGCACAATTTAAACAGAGAAGAGAAATAGTAAAGATATAAGACATATTTAGCAGAAGTTATAGAAGGAGAGAAGGGGGTACAATACATATTTGAAGGGAAAGTGGTAGATGAAAATTTTCCAGAATTCTCATGAGAGGCAGCAGTCCATATATTCAACAGGTCCAGAAAGTCCCAAGCGTCATAACTAAAGCAATAACCAAAAACACACACGGTAAAAAGGCAGAAAAGCCAACTTCTTAGAATTTTTAAAGAATGGTAAAAGCAAAGAGTTGGGAAGCAGAAACCACTTTCTAAGAAATAGTACCTACGATGACATCTGAGATCTCACACTCGGCAATCAGAACCCTGGAATGACTCAAGTGGGCTAAGGAACATAAACCGCTTCTATAGTTGCGTTGCCTTCTCTATCTTCTTGCCCTTTGACCTCCAAGGACCCTAGAGATTACTTTGGGCCCAGCAGGAACTGAATCGTGATCTTCCTAACCTCAAAAATCGCCAATATAACCATACCTGCACAGTCCCCTTTGCCTAATAAAGTAACCCATTGTGGGAATTAGCACGAGGACTTAGAGGTGGGCCCTTGTTCACCACACTCGCACATTTTTCCTCCTGAGGTCTTCCCGCCCTTCCTTCCCCCCTCCCCCCAAGTCCTTGGGCCGAAAGTGAAGGGGGGTTTCCAAACTTGCAGCAGAAGCTGAGGTCATTTTCCCCTATTCCCTCAGGGTGAGGTTAATATTATTACCTCAATTTCAAAGATTCAAAAATTGACCAGGACAGGTCGGGGGTAGGGGTCACTCTAAGTGTCTGACTCCAAACTATAAGCTTGTAGACAGATAATCAGCTCCCTAACTGGGACGGACAGAAACTCTCCACCAAACCCCAAACAGATGCAGTCTGGGCTCATCACTCATTGTCTGACTTCTGGCTACTTTGTACCTTAAGAAACACACTCCAGTTTAGGTGGGGGAGTTTTGTTTATTTTTGTAACAAGGATTTGGTCGGGTGGAATAAAGGATGGGGGGGGGGCGGGTTTAAAACTGAAGAGGCACCTTTGGAGCAAGCATTGCTGTGGCAGAAGCTCTTTCTGACTAAACATGTGATCTGGGCTTGTCGTTTAAGATTCTCTTAGGCCTCAGTTCCCTGGTCTGCAAAATGCCATTTGGCTCAAAGGACATCTTTCCCAGTGACCTCCCGATGCGGGCATTCTAGGGTTCTAAGAGAGAAGTCCCTTGCAGGACCTGCCTCCCACCTTTGGGAGGTGAGCTCTGACAAAGAGGCAGGCCAGGGAACGGGTGTGTTGAAGGGTCTCGGTTCAAGAAGGCACCGATGCAAATCGGAAAAAAAAAAAAAAAGAAAGGAAAACGTGCAGTGCAACAGAGCGGAGAAGGGGGGTGGGGGAGACGCCTCCGAGGGCGCACCAGCATGCAAAGAAACCGCCGCGTGCAAATGAACTCCGGAGCGAACCGGCGCGGAGCATCTCGGCGCCCGCGGTGCTGCGGGTCCGAGGCGGCCGGGATCCGGACTCTGCTCTCGCGCGAGGGGCCCTCCGAGAATGCCGTTACACGCGGTCGGGGAATTATTGCCGACCCGGGTCCCCCGGGGGCGGGCAGCCCCGGAGACCCGCCCGCGGCCGCCAGCCGGGCCCGTCCTACGAACGTTGGCGTGCGCCCGCGGCCACGCCGGGAGGGGGCTCGGCCCCCCGCTCCTCGGGGACGCCCCGCCCCCCCGGCGCCCAGGCCCGCCTCCGCCCGCCGGGACGCGGCTTTTCTTCTCCGGGCGCCGAGCGGCCGCGCTGCTGCAGAGACGCCCGCCGCCCCCGACCGCCCCCGCCGCGTCCCTCGGGCCTCGGAAGTGACGCAGCGCGCCCCGCCCCCGCCGCCAGATCCGCTGCTGCTGCCGCGGCGGGCGGACCTGCAGGAGGCGGCGGCGGCGGCGGCGGCGGCCGAGGCCGAGGCCGAGGGAAGATGGCGGACGGTGTGGACCACATAGACATTTACGCCGATGTGGGCGAGGAGTTCAACCAGGTAGGTGAGGCCGCGGGCCCCCACGCGGCCGACCGCGGGCGGCGGCGCGGCCCGGGGCCCCTCGCGGGCCGCGAGCCGGCGGCGGGGGGGAGGGGGCTGCAGACCGTGCGCTCCCTCGGGCCGCCCGTGGGCCGCGCCGCCCGGCCCCGGCGCGGCGCCCGCCTCGGCCCCTTCGTTCTACCGCGTCGTTTCGCGGCCCGCGGGCGGGGTGCGGCGGGGCCTGGGAGCGCGGCCGCGGGCCCCGCCGTGCAGCCGGCCCGGCCGCCCCTCCCTCCCGCGCCGCCCCTCGCTGCCCATTGTTGGCGGCGGCCGGCGGCGCTTCCCGCCCAGCTAGGCCGGGGCCGGCATGTGCGCGGCCGGCGAGCCGGGCCGGGGCCGGGCCGCGGGGTCGACGAGGAAGCCCGGCCGGGCGCGCGCCGGCCGCCGTCGCGCCCCGCGGCCCTGCCGCTCGGGCTCCGATTCCTCCCGCCGCTCCATTTTGTCTCCCGGCCGCGCACGGCGGCCTCGTGGAAGGCCGCGGTCCCGGCCCTTTGTATCCCGCGCGCCCGCTTGCCCTGGGCGCTCCTGCCCGCTCTGGCCGCGGGTTTCGGCATGGCGCCTTCCTCCTCTTTCTCCTCCTCCTCCTCCTCCTTCTCCTCTCCTTTCTCCTCCTCCTCATTCTTCTCCTCCACCTCCTGCTCCTCCTCCCGCTTTCGGAAGGCGGCTTCGCGGTGGGCACGTTTGCAACAAGTCCTTGGACTTTCGGACCCATAGACCGTGGTGGTGGTGGTGGTGGGAAACACCACCATCACCAGCAAACTCCCCCTCCCCCCCCCAAAAAAAAAGAAAAAAAATTAAACCGAGTCGGCGCGCTCAGCCTGTCGCGGTGGTCCGGGGCTGGCCATGCCCCGGAGGCCCGGTACTTGCTGGCCTAGGTGATGCCTGGTAGCCCGGGCTAGGAGGAGAAGTGGCCTCAACCGGTGTGGATGGACCCGAAAAAGATGCTGTCGCTCTCCGAGCCTTCAGAGGAGTCTTTCACGAAAGAACGCGCAGCCGCATTGCGGACGGTGGTAGAGTGGCCCACGGAGGGGTGGCCGCCGGGACCCGGTGCGCCCTTAACGCCAAGGAGCCTTTGGGCGGGAGGGGCGAGGGTGCTGCGGGCTCGGGCCCGATCTCGGACTCGGCTCGGCCTCCCTCCCGGTACGAGGTCGGTTCCGAGCACAGACGTGCGGGTTCCACGCTCGGGGCCCGCCACGCTTCTGCTTTGCCCAAAGATCCTCTTAGCCTGTTGTATGTTTCGTTCTAGTGCCAAAGCAACCTATATTTTTTTGGGGGGGGGGGTGTGATTCCCCCCCCCCCAACTCCCGGTCCCTATGAGAAGCTTCATGCATTGCCACTGGTTTTTAAATACCTCTTTTTTTTTAAGTGGATTTAAAATTTTTTTTTCCTCTAGGAAGGATCTTATTTGTGACGAACTTTTTTTTTTTTTAAACTGGGGGGAAATGAGAAAGTTTTATACACAAGTTCTTTGTATCCCTTAGTATTAGAGAAAAATTTTCTGGCTTCTAATTGACTCCTCCTCCATTAAAGTCTTGGTTGCCTTTAAATGTAACCCCTGTGATCAAACATGAAGTTTTAACTTTGTTCCTTTTTCCCCCTCCCGTTGTGTGCTAGTGTTTGGGGTATTGGATACCCGAGTTGGGTCAGTGACAGATGGGGAAATTGATCTTGAGTGCTACAGTCAGATTCTGATGTTTCTAAGGTCAGCAGAACAAAACCTCTAGGAAATTTCTTTTCCTTTTTAAATTTTTTTTTTAATCAGATAGGTGTAACATTGCTTTCAAAAGAGGTCAGTCCTTCCGGTGAAGGAACATTTAGAGAGTCCTAATGCTGTCTTCATTTATTTTCTTTACAAGAACGTACATTTACTATGCCTTTCTGCCCATAATAAAGGAAGATTTGGGATACAGTTTCAGAACTGGCGCTTGATTCACTATTTTCCGTAAAATATTTTTAGGCTTTTGCATGTTTAATTTGGGGCGGGCATTTTTTCATTCATAGAGCTAGCTGGATGAAGTGATACTTGCTTATCCCTGTGCAGTCACTAGTGCACACTGAGCAGGAGGTAAGAAGAGATTAAAATTTTGTTGCCTGGTGAGGAATTGCTTTGGGGTTCTTTTTTGTTGTTGTTGTTGTTGTTTTCATTTGGCTTTTGCCTATAGCATTGTATCTTAGTTGTACATTTACTGGTAACTGATAATTTTGAATAGAGTTAATGGGAGAATTAGACTTTGTTATACTTCTTCACATCTTTGTTCCTTCGACCTGTATGCTATGTTAATTCCTGAAGAAAATATGGCTTACTCTCAGAGGTCATCCTATTTAAAAACAAACAAAAAGCTGCTATTGCTGAATCTGTTTTCCAGTATTTCATCAGGATTAGAGAAAACAAAAATTATTGCATTTCATTAGCGGGTGACCCTTGTTTCTGGCTGCTATATTTAAATTCTGAGTTTAAATAAAATGTTACTCTGGGTGTGTATGATCAGTCTTGAATTATCTTGGCATCTAAACTGCTCTAAACAGCTGAAATAAATCTTTATTCTCAGTTCTAATTGTATCTATATAGTTTGAAATTCTGTGTAGTCTGTATATTCCAAATAAGGTTTTTATGTATATGTGTAAAATACATAAACATTTCAGGAAGCGTGAGGCATTTAACTATGTTTGAAGAGAAGTTACTTTAGTTTGGATGGGGTGTGAATAAACTGGCAACTGTAGAATTCCGTTCTTCAGTTGAATTTAAGAAGGTTAAAGTTGGAGAAGAGAGATGCTCAAGTTCTTAAATCGAAGGTCTTTGGATGTTACCAAACAGAAAACAGTTGTGCTGAGTGGAGGGCAAACTTAAATAAACTTCTAACTGCTTCAATAATTGTGGACTTAAATGACCAAAAGTGAATAAATTTTTTCACTTGTTTAGTATATATTTTTTAGTATCTGTTAATATGCCAAGAAGGAGGAATGTAAAGCCCTTAGAATAGACTTGTAAAGTACACTGTAATGAGAGTGAAAGACATCTCCATATTCTCTATGATATTGTCAGCTCATGGACTTACTGCACATAAGACTTTTTGTCAGTTTTTGTTGGTGGGGGAAGGAATTAAAAATTTATGAATTTTAGGAAAACCATCAAAACTGCTTATTTGGGGATTTAAAACTTTTTTTGTTTTTGCTTTTTGGGTCACACCCGGCGATGCTCAGGGGTTACTCCTGGCTCTGCACTCAGGAGTTACTCCTGGTGGTGCTCAGGGGACCATATGGGATGCTGGGAATTGAACCCGGGTCAGCTTCGTGCAAGGCAAATGCCCTAACCACTGTGCTATCGCCCTAGCCCCTTGGGGATTTAAAACTCTTAATGAAGAAGTTATTGATGATAGGTCATTGATAGTATTTTAGTATTGCTGATAGTAATCTGGCGCAGCTTAAAAAGAAAAATAGATGGTATAGTTTTTAGAACTTACAGATCCTCATAAATCACTTTACTTAGCTATTATGTTTATAGCTATTAAACACATTCTTGCCAGTTTACTAACCAATTTTAGAAAATTGTTAGATTATTATCGTTAAAGTCTTAGTTTTGATAAGGTTATTAGTTGAAAATTTCTAGAACAGGGATGTGTGGTCGAGAATAAGGTAGTTGATTTTTTTTTTCTTTTTGGGTAACACCTGGCGATGCACAGGGGTTGTTACTCCTGCCTCTGTACTCAGGAGTTACTCCTGGCGGTGCTCAGGGGACCATATGGGGTGCTGGGAATCAAACCCAGGTCGGCCGCGTGTAAGGCAAACGCCCTACCCGCTGTGCTATCTCTCCAGCTCAAGGTAGTTAATTTTTAAAGAACTTGGGTAGCGATATTTTGGGGAGTCTGAACTCTTGTCATTTAGGAAAGGTAGTTCATTTGATTGCCTATGGATTATCCACATTGTGCTTTACGTGTATTTTTATAGAGTTGACTTACCTTGAATGGACTTTTTACAGGAACTGCAAACATTTTAATATCTCCCCAGATCATAATTAGATTGAATTTTATGTACCAGTATTTTGTAAATGTAAAATTTCCCCTTATATTTCTCCAAATGGAAATAGCTTATATTTTTTTAAGGGTTTTGTGCTGTTATTAGTAGTGTAATGGTGCAGGAATGGTACTACTACAATTTAGAACCACCAAAGAAGTGTTAGATCTTTCTGGGAAAATGAAGAGTATACTAGAGTTAAATCTGATCATCTCAACATTGGTATACATTATTTTGTATATTAGCAGTTTATAGAAGATGAATGGGGGAGATGTCTTAAAATAACCCTGGAGGAGAGGGGGTAGTTATAACCAGGATGGTGGGGGGGGAATGAGATAAGCTACTGTTACAGGAACCAGTAAGTTTTTGTTATTTTACTAGCCATATTTTTTAGTATTCTCTCTGATTTGGCAACAGCTGTTGATAGAACACGTTAGAACAGTGTTTCTCAACTGGAGCCATATGCTGAAAATCATATAAATGGCCTGTGCGTGTAGGGGGTCAACTGTAGGATCAGGACATAGGAGAGAAACAGGTTGGGAGGGGAACACAGTCTGAAAATGGTTGAGAAACACTGATCTAGGGTATCAGCTTTTGTGAGTCTTGAGAAAATGTCTGTTGCCTTTAGAATGACCATTGTGACTGAATGGTAGGGAATGAAAAAACTAGGGCTACACTTTTTTTTTAAAAACAGAATCTAAGAACTGTTGCCCTCGAGAAGTTTAATGTGCAAGCTCTTTTCGGTAATTAGTGATACACTGTGAAAAGTATATAATTAAAATTGGGTGGCATTTCAAATAGAGGGATAATAGTGATATTTTCTTTTAAAAATATTTATTATCGATACTTCAGAGTAATAACTGGAAAGACTCATGGGTGAATTTAACATGTCGATTGACTATTTCTCTTTACAAAGTAGAAGTCTTTTTTGTTTGTTTTTGTTCAGGAGACTTTAAGAGTTCTCTTAAAATGACCTGTCTATATATTTTGCCTAATGTTTTGTCCCTTTTGAAATGGGAACAAATTAGGATCTGTTCTGTAATTTTTTTTTAACCTGGAGGGTAGGTGTGGTATTCTGAAGCTGAAAGGGAAGATCGCTGGTACTAAAAAGAGCACGTGCTTTGAGTTGCCTTTTTAGCAATGGCGGCAAGTGTGTTCAGATTCATCAATATTTTTTTCACCAAGTTCAAATGCATATCGTTGGGGCTAGAAGTACAGGCTGTGGCTTTGGAACAGAATGACGATAACTAGTCCACATGGAGCTCAGACCCCAGGACCATGGTTTCAATTAGCATCAGACTTCAACCCATTGGAAGCAGTCCAACTACCAGACAATGTGGCTGATCCTAAATACTGGTAGAATCATATCAATATGGAAAATTGGTTGGTGTCAACATAGGATTTCATGGACGGACAAAAATAGTAAGTGTTTGTGATTCACCAGGTTAGTGTAGCTGTAATGTTGCTTGTAAATTATTGTCTACTTAAGTAAACAATTTTGTAGATTTACAAGTAATGAAAAAGCAATTGTGTTAACTTATTCTGTGAAAGTTTAAGTTGAAATACTTTTAGTTCTGCTAATAACACATTCTTTTTCACCCTTCCTCAGACCATATATTGTGCTTATAGTCTCTGCTGAAATGGATTGAAAACACAGCTCCCTTTCAATGATAGTAATAATTCTATTTCATGTATAGAACAGGACTGCCAGAGTGTAAAGTACCCACTGCCCCTTTGTGGGGCGGCTTTTAGTTTCTTAAATGTATGGAACCACAGCTGCAACCACGCCTCCTGAAGCTTCAGCTACACTGAAACTTCATAACAAAACTCACCCTCCTCTTCTGATTCTCACTGTCACTGCAGTATGAGCATGTTACTTTGTTTAACAAAAATGCAATTCTGAAAGATTGTTTTATTTTGGTTTTACTGTGCAAACAAAATAGGATTATGACATTGTTCAGGGACTTTGTTTCTGCCAGTGCTAGAGATGGCCCTGTTTTCTGACTTAATGAGATCATGGGTCGCTTATTAAATGTCTTAAAGACATTCTGCCTCATTAAAAAATTGCTATGGAAAGATTCTATTTTGTAATTGAATAACAAACTCAGTTACAGTGGTGGTTTTTTTTTTTTCAGATTTCATGTTCCTTTGACTATGTACATAAATAATATTTCCCCTTATAGTTGTTTGTTTTTTTTCCATTTCTCTCAAAAAAAAATCTGTTCTGGCTTCTTAATAATAAAGCAATAGGGCGCCGGTGAGATGGTGCAACAGGTAGTGTATTTGTCTTGCACCTAGCTGTCTGGGGTTCAGTCCCCAACACCGTGGTCACAGAGCTTGCAGTAAGCTCTGAGCACGTCCAGGTGTGTTCCAACCCCCCCACCCCCCAAAAAAAGCAATAATAATAATAAAGTAATAGATGCGTTCTCTATTTACAGTTTTATATACACTTTCTCTATCATTGTGTAAATAGACTCTAAAATTATTGGTTATTCCTGTTTGTAACAATTCATCCTTAATAAATTGTAATAATGGGACAGCATTTCTCTGAACTCCAGTGTGTTCTATGATAATGGTAATTACATCTCGTTACCTTATTTCAAATACCGTGCCTCATAAGAAGAAAGTAGTTCACATCAACTTAGGTACTTAGTGGTAGAGAGAGAGGAAGATTAAAAATAGAGCTTTTCCTCTGACATCTGCCAATCAGGTCTGTGGCCCAGGAATGATTACTAAAGGCAGAAGCGTTGTGTTCACCAGTATCTACTTGTCATTTTTACTGTGCTTATTTGCAAATTGACTCTCCCTTTTTTATTTTTATCCTCCTCCCATATCTGTTCTTCTTCTTGGCTTATCATTTAGGCATGCAAGTCACATCCATTTGTTGGTGGGTTTTTTCCATCCTAGTGTCACTAAATGGCAAGGCTTTCCTTACTTGATCCTTGTTATTCACTTTTCTCTTGCTAATTGTGTGCATAGTCAGGTAAGCATGAATTCTGTGTTGAGCTGTGTCTTGCTAAATACTAATTTGGATAGTTTGCCTGCAGCTTGTATTTTTTCACCCCTTCATGTTTCATGGCATTTTGAATCATCTACATACTCATATTTCTTCAGCTTAAGTTCATTCTGCTTTTTTCTTTAAAAAACAAAAGGGTATAACTTTCACAAGGGTGAAAACAACTCATTTACTGCGGAGGGGTGGGAGGAGCATGTGTCTTTTCTGCAGTTAAATGTTAAAGCTTTATAATACAAAAATTCTGATTTTTGAAAGTATCTTAAAGCTCATCTGGTTGTATTTATATTTGCTGTGTTGACTAGTGTTTACTTCCAAGGAAAATTTTACATTGTACCTTTATTTTTTCTCCGTCATTTTCCCAGAGGAGCATTACTTCCTATTTTACAATAATAATATGAAAATAGTGTTTACATATAGAAATTTGCTCTGTAGGCACCCTTCAAGACTATTTGTGGAATAAAGTGAGATTTGTACTGGGATTTTTGGGACTTAATCTTCTACCAGATTTTTAAAAACGAAATGGTTAATCGTTGAACTACATGAATTACATTCATTCAAAAATTCTGTTGTAGTCAAATCTTTTTGGTAATAGCTTGACTGCTGTATAATCTAGAGCATTATTTCTGTATCTCAGGAAGCTGAATATGGTGGGCATGATCAAATAGATTTGTATGATGATGTCATCTCTCCATCTGCTAATAATGGAGATGCCCCAGAAGACCGGGATTACATGGATACTCTCCCGCCAACGGTTGGAGACGATGTGGGTAAAGGAGCAGCACCCAATGTTGTCTACACGTATACTGGAAAGAGGATTGCATTGTATATTGGAAATCTAACATGGGTAAGTAAATAATACATGAATTATTGTAATTGATTTTGAACTGTTCTAGATGTCTTAATTGATGTTTTTCATCAGTTTCGGTTTTGGGCAACTCCTGGCAGTGCTGTGGGGACCATGTGGATTGTTGGGGATCGGGTCCAGATCAACTGCTTACAAGTCAGGTGCACTGCCTGCTAACAGCACTCTCTCTCCAGCCCTTTTTCTCCAGTTTTTCTTTCTTTTTTTTTTTTTTCAATTTGAAGTTTTTAGATAAAAATGCTTGTTTATGCTATCTCTGAGGAGGGAAGTCACGGTCCTTCCATTCATCAATTTGCTCGAGCGGGCCCAGTAACGTCTCCATCGTGAGACTTGTTGTTACTGTGTTTGGGCATATCGAATACGTCATGGGTAGCTTGCCAGGCTTTGCCGTGCGGGCGAGATACTCTCGGTAGCTTCCCAGGTTCTTCGAGAGGGGCGGAGGAATCGAACACGGCTCGGCCGGGCCAGCTGTGTGCAAGGCAAACGCCCTACCGCTGTGCTATCGTTCCAGCCCCAGGAGGAGGGAAGTATACCTATAAAATGCATAAGTTGCTTCCTAATTTTGAGTGCTAGTTAAAATAATTGACTTAGTCTTCAAGTTATTCTTTTCACCTTACTACTACTTCTGTATTTAAGCTATTCCAATTAAAAAAAAGTTGATATAAGATTTTAGAACAAAGACAATACAATACCTAAAAATCTTTCTTTAAGTCATATTATAGACTTGTTCTATTTCTGCTTTTAGTTTTGAAGTTTGATATGTGAAATCATACAGATCATGTTTTGATTTGTACTCAGGATTGTTTTTGCATTTTATTAATGAATATTTGATATATATCTTGTATCAGATCTTAAATACTCACTTTTTTTTTTTTTTTTTTTTTTTTTTTTGGCTTTTTGGGTCATACCTGGCAGTGCACAGGGGTTACTCCTGGCCCTGCACTCAGGAGTTCGTCCTGGTGGTGCTCAGGGGACCATATGGGATGCTGTGACTCGAACTTGGGTCTCCTGCATGGAAGGCAACCTGCTGTGCTATCGCTTCAGCCCCCAAAATACTCACTTTTATGGTCTTACACACACACCTATAAAATATACATAAGCACACACTTGGGAGTTTAGAAGTTGCCTCAAAATCAAAACAGCCATTTTTCATTTTGGTGAGGAGGAGACTTCCCAAATAATGCTGGAGTGCCCTGTGATACAAACCAGACTTGTAGCCCAAGTGCTGTGGCCCAAGGATGTGGGGCTGCTTGGATTCTGATCCATACTTGGTGATGGGTTGGGGTCCTCTAGGACTAAAGACCCAGCAATGCTTGGTACCAGGGATGGGCTGACCAGCTCTAGACTATCTCTCTGGCCCCCTATCACATTTTTAATAGCATTTTGTTTTCAATGGTTTTAGGTTCTTTTGTTTTGGGGTGACACCCAATTGTGCTCAGGGCTTACTTACTCCTGGTTCTGCTCAGGGATCTTTCCTGGCAGACTCAGGACCATATGCCCAGGATTCAATCTGGGCTAGCCACATACAACTTCTGGGACATCTCCATTATTTGCAGATGGAGAGATGACATTATCATACAAATTTCTTTCCTTCTGCCCATTATATTTAGCTTCTGAGATATAGAAATAATAACCTAGATTATACAGTAGTCAAGCACCTTATCCTTTGTACTGGTGCTTCTACCTCAGAGGTTTTTTAAAAACTTAATTGTTCTGCCACCACTTAATTTGAGCTATCTTTGTAATATTGAAGGTGGTGGTGGTGTAGTTCTAGACTGCTTGCTAGGTAAAACTTAGTTTATGACCTTGGAAAGCCCTTTTTTTGTTTTTGGTTTGTGGCCATACCTGGCGATGCTCAGGGGTAACTTCTACCTTTGCACTCAGGATTCATTCTGGTGTGGGCTCGGGGACCATATGGGTTGCTGGGGATTGAACCCGGGTCAGTTGTGTTCAAGGCAAGTGTCTTGCCCACGGTACTGTCTCTCTAGCCCCTTGGATAAGCTCTTTAACTTCTGTATTGCATCATGTGTAAACTGGGGATAATACTTAAAGGGATTATTTCAAGAGTTAGAATATCTGCTATATAGTAAAATATGGGTGATCAATATATTTTTTTCTTCCATCTTGTTTTCAAACATGTGATACTCTCCTGCCTGCTCCCATTTCCTTTAAGAAAAAAACTAATAAGTGAGAGTGGAAAAATTTAAATCATAGTTTAAAATAGGAAGAAACCAGAAATTTTTATGAGTTTTTAAAAACTTTAAGGGATATGTACCTTATAATTTCTGAAACTCTCTGAAGGGATAACTCTTGGTGTTCAGATGCTTTTGTGCTGTTTAAAAATTAGAGGCTGTCTATGTGCAAATACACCTATTTGCAGAGAGCATTCATTTTTCTCTTTATCTCAGATTTACCCTTAATTAAATTAAGGGGTGTTGGGGCAATAGTACAGCAAAAGGGTACTTGCCTTGCACACACTGACCTGGGTTCAATTCCCAGCACCCCAGATGGTCCCCTGAGCGCTACTCCCCAAAATCCTGAAATAGTAAAAATCTTGTGACTTGCTGATTAATGATGGGGTTGAATGTCTTTTCAGTGGACAACAGATGAAGACTTAACTGAAGCAGTTCATTCTTTGGGAGTAAATGATATTTTGGAGATAAAATTTTTTGAAAATCGAGCAAATGGCCAATCAAAGGGGTAAGAATTTTCTTTCTCTTTTTCGGAGGTTTATGACATTCCTGGATTTTTCCATGTAATGTTGCACTAAAATCCCATCTAATGTTTCACTGATTATTGAAATGACAGTTTGAATAAGTGTTAACTTTCTGTAATTAAAAAATGTGGGACGATGAACACATGTAGAGTTATATAGGTATTAGGAATATTTGCTTTACTTTATGGCTTTGAGGATCCATCTGAATCAGTTGCCTTATGCATGCAAAAGCATTTGTTCCAGCCAAGAAGCTTTTTTTTTTTTATTATTTGAAACCTTAAAATTATACACTTACGGAAGATACAGTTATTGTAGAAACGTTTTAAAATACAGGTTTCCAATAATAAAATTAAGCTAGAATCTGATTGTTAATAGGTGATCATTTATAAAATGTTATATATATTATAAAATTATAAAATGTTTATACATTTTACTGACTCCACTTTCCTGTTTTTCCAAGTTTATATTTACACAAAAAAATACAGATTATGATTCATCTGTCTGATAGGAGTAAAACATTTACATCTATCAAATTCATCTAAATCTTGAATATGTAAATATTTTCATCTTTTTGTATGCTGTAATTATTTAGCCAATTTGCAGTTTGTATTTCTTTTTTTGTTATGTTTCAACAATCATGTTTCATAAAGTAATGGGACTCTGGGCTATGACTCAGAGGACTGGAATGCATCCTTTACATGTGGCAACCAGAGGTTTAATACCTGGCACTGTATGGTTCCCCCATTACTGTTGTCAGGGTGATTCCTGAGCATCATGCCAGGAAATCTTCACTGGGCGTAACCCCCCAAAAATAAAAACAGGTGCAGATTTTGGGTTTTTTTTTTTTTTAAGATAAATTGCCAAATCAGAATGATGAAGAGATTGAGATTTGACCACCTGCACCTTAATGGTCCCTTGAGCCCTCGGCACCGCTATATACATGGTGCCACAGCAACAAACAAGTGAAACAGAAAAATACTTATGCAGAATCTGACCACTTCTCAAGACCACTTCTGCTACCTGATATGAACTACTACTACCTCTTCCAGCTTTTTCTTACCTTTTGTTTCTGCCTTTATCCTAACCCCACAATCTACTGAACAGTGCAGATTTCTACTTTATTTATTTTAAGCCACATCAGTATTTGCTTAGAATCTTACAATGACTTTCCGTTTTGCTTGAGTAAAATCCAACACCTTTGCTATCACCTTCACCTTCTCTCCTACCACTCCTGCCTTTGCCCCCATATTAGTCTCTGTTGTTACTTGTTTTCTCCTCTTGGTTTACCTTTCCATGGGATAGCCATGTGAAATACTGTAACTTCATTCCGGACGCTATGAAAGTGTTCTCTTTGTTGACTATCTCTACAAAAAGGCACTTTGGTCTCCACCAGTTTTCTTAGATTTTCTTTATTATTACAGTGTATTTCTCTTACTTATTGCCTTGTTTCCCACCAGCTTGTAAGCCCACGAAAGCAGAGATACTGTTTTGTTCTTTTGTGTTATATCCATTGGCCTGAAAAGAATACTAGCATATAAGAGGAACTTGTGTATATATATATATATTTTTTTTTTTGGCTTTTTTAGGTCACACCCGGTGATGCTCAGGGGTTACTCCTGGCTTTGCACTCAGGAATCACTCCTGGCGGTGCTCAGGGTACCATATGGGATGCTGGGAATCGAACCCGGGTGGGCCACGTGCAAGGCAAATACGCTACCCACTGTGCTATTGCTCCAGCTCCCAATTTGTGTAATTTTTGATAAGTATTATTAGTGAAATCACTGTTTCTAAATATTACAACTTAAGACAGTTATGAATTCAATAGAAGAATTTGTTGGTTAGATTAGGAATTTAGTTTAAAAGACCTTGTTACCATTAGGGAGAAAAAATTCTTGTGGCCAGAGGGGTAGTATAGTGGATAAGGCGCTTGCCTTGCATACAGCTGACCCAGGTTTGATCTCTGGCATCCCATATGGTCCCCTGAGCATCACTGGGTATGCTTCCCCCACTCCCCTCCAGAATTCTATGAACCTTTAGAACAATTTAGAATATTCTATAATTGTAGAAATTGGTAATCATTCAGTTTACACCTGGCTGTGCTCAGGACTTGATTCTGTCTCTGCACTCAGGGATAACTTCTGGCAAGCTGAGGAGAACATGGGATGCTGGGGATTGAACCTGGGTCTACTACATGCAAAGCAAATGCCTACTCTCTCTGCTGTCATTCCAGCCCCATGCTGTTAACATTTTTAACTTAAGATTTTAATTGGCTAGAATTCCATTGTATGCCAAGAAGACTGTATATACCTAGGAGCAGAGTTCCATGTTAAGTATATTTAACCTTTTGAGAAATTGCCAGATTTGTCAGTGAAGCCCCATCAGTATATTAGGGTTACAAGTTCTTTGCATCCTCACCCACACTTGTTAATTACCTTTTGATTGTTGCCATACTCTTGAGTATGAAATGGTATAATCATTTTTTGTTTATACTTTCCTGCTGGTTAATATTGAATATCTGTCATAATAGCATTCATTGTAAAGTGAAAACTCAAATGCCCATTCATCCATCAACTAATGAGTGGTGGAGTTTATTTTTTTTGGTTTATTGGGGGAAGGGCACACTCCATGTTCAGGGCTTACTCCTGGTGGTGTTAGTGGGACATGGGGTGCTGGGGATTGAACCCCAGTGTCATATGCAAGGCAAGTGCTTTGCCATTATGCTGTCTTATTACTCTGGTTACTGTTGAGTGGATTTTCTTAAGATAATAGTTTGGATTTATAATGGAGTATTACTCAACCTTGAAAAGAAGTACATTACATACTACAATCTTGAAAGTGTGCTGAAAGATGGGCATTTGCCTTGCACATGACCTACCTGGCTTATGCCCGCCACCCCACTTGGGCCCCTGAGAACCTCCAGGTGTTATTTCTGAGTGCAGAGCCAGGACTAACCCCTGACTGTTGGCCATGTGTGACCCAGCTGAAAGAAACCAGTTGCAAATAGTAGAATTTAGGATTCCATTTTTACAGAATGTCCAGAATAGACTAGTTCATAAAGATACAAATTAGAAAGCTCCTTGAGGTTGGGGGATGGGTGAGAATTGAGTCATGGTAAATGAATAGAATTGGGGGTGGTGATGATTAAAATAGTCTTAAGATTGCAGTGATGGTTGTAAAGCTCTGAATCTGCTAGAAAAACAAACAAAAAAAATCTGCTAATTAAAAATTTTAATTAGTGAGTTGTTTGCTGTATGTATGTTCTTTAAAGTTAAGATGAAAATGTGAGCTCTATCACTTAAATATTTTCTTCAAGTAAATTTAGACCATTTTCTTTTTTATTTTTTTTGCTTTTTGGGTTACACCCGGCCGTTGCACAGGGTTTACTCCTGGCTCATGCACTCAGGAATTACTCCTGGCGGTGCTCAGGGTACCATATGGGATGCTGGGAATCGAACGCGGGTCAGCCGCGTACAAGGCAAACGCCCTACCCGCTGTGCTATCTCTCCAGCCCCGCCATTTTCTTTTTAAAAAACCAAGAATGTTACTCATCTTTTTGTCACATTCTGTCTTTATTCTTTTAAATATCTTTTAGGTTTGCCCTTGTTGGTGTTGGATCTGAAGCATCCTCAAAAAAGTTAATGGATCTGTTGCCTAAAAGAGAACTACACGGTCAAAATCCTGTCGTAACTCCATGCAATAAACAGTTCCTGAGTCAATTTGAAATGCAGTCCAGGAAAAGTAAGCAATCCCTCAGAGGCTTTTATTAAAGATGGGTATTTGGATCAGTGATAGCGAGTATTTGTTAAAAATCATGAGAGAAGTTATCCTTATATTCTTTGACAAATTTATTTTAGAAGGTTAATACTCCGAATTTGATTTGATTCCTGATTATGATTGAATGTTTCATATACTAGAATCCTACTCCCATTTTTCTCCACATGTTGTAGATCCAGTAACATATAGTGATATATGAATTCTCTAGTTTACCTTCTGTCATTGTCATCGCGGGAAAGAAGCAAGTTCTAATCATTAGATAAAACATTATGTGAATGTGATATTTAGTGGAGGAGAAACCAGTGGTAACGAGACCATTGTTCACTTTTTGCTAGGCACGCAAGACCTTTTACTACTTAGTAAAAAAAAAAGTGAATATAGACGCCTTTGTATTGCAGACTTATGAATAGTGTTAGTCTAGTAAAATGGATGGCAGTGTAGTAGAAATTCAAGAAATTCAAATGGGTTTTCTTTGATGTTTTAGCATATAAGACCAAACCCAGGAATGTTACAAGATTTCATTGATTATGCATACTGAAAAGCAGATTCATATTGGAGTAATTTGATAATGGCTGCTATAGAGTATTGATATTTTAGAAATCGCTCATATTTACTCACTTGAAATAGACTTTATCCTGAATATTTTAAGATTTAAAAAGTATTTTGTAATTGATATTTCTAACATAGTTTGGATACCTGCGGAAGTTAATACAAAATTAATATACGAAGTGTGAGTGAACTTTGAAATAGAGTTGTTGCAATTAACAGTGGTTGCATTTCAGAGAACTATTTTAATCAATGCTATTTATGAGTATTTGGATATTTGCAGCTACACAATCAGGACAAATGTCTGGGGAAGGTAAAGCTGGTCCTCCAGGAGGCAGTTCACGTGCAGCATTTCCACAAGGTGGTAGAGGACGGGGCCGTTTCCCAGGGGCTGTTCCCGGTGGGGACAGATTTCCTGGGCCAGCAGGACCAGGAGGGCCACCCCCACCATTTCCAGGTAAAATTTTCCTCAAATTTCCATGGATAAAAATGTATCTACCTAATACCTCTTTTCCTTTTCTCTCTTTTCAAGTAATGCATTATTAATGTGACTTACTCTCCTTGTTATGCTATTTTTGGAATCCAGGAAATTTGATCAAGCATCTTGTTAAAGGAACTCGGCCTTTGTTCCTGGAAACTAGGATTCCATGGCATATGGGGCACAGCATAGAGGAAATACCCATTTTTGGCCTAAAAGGTCTTTATTTTTCTCCAAACTTGCTTGACTTATATATAGAATATATACATCCGTCTTATTTTCTTACCTCTTAAAAATCCTTTCAAGACCATTTTTCCTTGTTTCACTTTCTAGCTTGGCATCAGAGTAGAATATAAGGTGGGTGATTTCACTGTAAGAAGTGTGTACACTGAAAGATGGAAACTATCTCTAAGTGTTGTAATCTTTAAAGTTTCAAGTATTTCTTAAGCATAAAATGAGCTAGTTAAATCTGTGAGGATGTATTTGACCTTTGTAGTGGTTAGTGTAGCACTTACTATATGGGCTTCATTTAACAAAGAATCTTGAACTATGAGTTATTATGCTTTTAAAGTATAATCTTGCTATAAAGGGTAAAATACTTGATTGAAATCTTTTTTTTCTCTTTTCCATAGCTGGACAGACTCCACCACGTCCACCTTTAGGTCCTCCAGGCCCACCAGGTCCACCTGGCCCTCCACCTCCTGGTCAGGTTCTGCCGCCTCCTTTAGCTGGGCCTCCTAATCGAGGAGATCGCCCTCCACCACCAGTTCTTTTTCCTGGACAACCGTTTGGGCAGCCTCCATTGGGTCCGCTTCCTCCTGGTCCTCCACCTCCAGTTCCAGGCTACGGCCCCCCTCCTGGCCCACCACCTCCACAACAGGGACCACCTCCACCTCCAGGCCCCTTTCCACCTCGCCCACCAGGCCCTCTTGGGCCACCCCTCACACTTGCTCCTCCTCCGCATCTTCCCGGACCACCTCCAGGTGCTCCACCACCCGCACCACATGTGAACCCGGCTTTCTTCCCTCCACCAACTAACAGCGGCATGCCTACATCAGATAGTCGGGGTCCACCACCCACTGATCCATACGGTCGGCCTCCACCATATGATAGGGGTGACTATGGGCCTCCAGGAAGGTAAGTTATTATCTGCCTATGGAAATAGACGTGGTGTATATAATGATAAATGGTTCTCTAAGCACCATCACTGTGGTGGGGGTCCCCCCCCTTTTTTTTTCTGTAACTACTTTCCCTGGATTTCAAATTTTCTGTATTAGAAGAGTAATAGGATCTGTGGTAAGAAAAGCATATTGTAAAAGTCAAGAGTAAATTCAGTGTTGCCACTTGCATAGCTGATTTGGAGCAAATTACTAAATACTGAGGATTGATCCTTTTTTGCTTCCTTCCAAAATGTCCTAATGGCTTAGTCCTGGCTCTGAGCTCAGAGGACTATATGCTCAGAGTACTACTATGGGTTAAAACAAGTCATCAGCTTTCTGACCCGTAAATTCATATTTTTATTTATTTTTGCTTTTTGGGTCACACCTGGTGATGCACAGGGGTTACTCCTGGCTCATGCACCCAGGAATTACTCTTGGCGGTGCTCGGGGGACCATATGGGATGCTGGGAATCCAACCCGGGTCAGCCGTGTGCAAGGCAAACGCTCTACCCACTGTACTATTGCTCCAGCCGAGTAAATTCATATTTTTAAAGGAAAGGATAAAAAAAGATAATGGAACAAATTAGACCTTCATGTTACTTTTAAAGTTTGCCTCTTTGTTTACCATTAATGCTTTGTAAACAGAGGAATTCTTTCATTGTTTTAGGAAGTAGATCTTATTTTTTAGGTACTAATTACTATGTTGATTAGAAATCTTGGGTAGCATGTTACTAACTTAGGTTTTATGGAAAGTAAAATAATTGATCTTTAGAGCAAAGCTAGATAGAAATCATTGTTGAACTAGGTAATCCCTGTGCCATTTCCAAAACACTTCAAAACCACATTCAAATCACAAGTTATGGAGCTGTGCTCCATATTGAAAATTTGGTTTATGTTCCCTTCAGTTTTCCTTATATTCATTATTTGATTTTGAATTCTTTATCACTGTTGAACTACTTTGCATTTTATCTGATAGTGTCCTTATAGGAATGAATTTGAGCACTTACTTGATTTTATTCAGGCCCACAGTACTAAATTGATACCAACAGTATACTGGCATCTGTCTGTAGGTGGCATTTTTTTATGGCTGTCAAAAATGCTTTCTTACAGAATGATAACTGCTAAGATAATAGAATTTTTTGTTTCAGTGAAGCAACTGCCCATGAGTTGTTCACCCTTGGAGTAAAGAGCCGGTTAAGTGACTAGGTTTGACAGTTTAAAACTGCTACTGCACATCTTTTAACTTTATAGACTTCAAAAATTTTTGCTTTGTTTTGTTTTTCGATCACACCTGGCAGTGCTCAGGGTCTGTTTCTAGATCTTTGCTCAGGGGTTACTCCTGGTGGTCATCAGGGGGGACTGCACAGTTTGGGAAATGAAACCCAGGACTGTCTGGTCATGCAGTCCTGTCTGTTGAGCTCTCTGTAGATCATCCTAATAGGATTTCTACTTCCCAGACTTGGGGGCGTAGCGGGGAGGTCTTGTTGACCAATTTTATTATTGAAAAGTAAAATAGTGATTGTTTTAAGGGATTGGGTGGAATAGAGTTAATGACTGTTATTGGCTCTGTGCTCAGGAGTGATCCCTGGTGATGCTCAGGGAACCTTGTGCAGTGCTTGGCATTAAACGAAAGTAAGAAGCATGCAGGACAAGCTCCTTAATATCTTGTACTGTCTCTCTGGCCATGAACATTTAGTTGAAATCCTACTTGAATTTTAAACAATTTGGTATTTGGTTAGGATAAGATTTGGGAATAGCATCAGTACCATGTAAGCATAAGTGTTAACCATATCCAAGTTTAAGTGTCAGATGCCTGCCCTTGATTTTATAGGGCTGTGTTTATATTGTGTGTTTGAAGTGGGGTAGGGGTAGAGAGAACTTCATCAGGATTTACTTGTTTTCTATGATTGAAAAGTAAAAAATTGGTACCTGGCAGAAAGATGAAGTTTGTTGCTGCTTTCAACTGAAAGATCGTGGCATTAATAGATATGACTTAGATTTGTTTTCTATGTTGGGAAAATGTCTAATCTGACTTGGTAGTTATTCTTAGGCATTTGTAATAATCACCTTATGTTGTTAGGAATGACTTGCGGAAAAAATGTTGTATGAATTAAGGCTTTCTTTAAAAACTTTTTTTTAGGGAAATGGATACTGCAAGAACGCCATTGAGCGAAGCTGAGTTTGAAGAAATCATGAATAGAAATAGGGCAATCTCAAGCAGTGCTATTTCAAGAGCTGTATCTGATGCCAGTGCTGGTTTGTATATTCCTTCCCACATTAATGTCTTATTTTAATTACTTGTAGCCACAAACTTTCAAAGTTACTTATGTTTGAAGCATTAGAGGAAACGAAATGTCTTAGTGTAGTGGAAAGAACCCTGGTTTGAAAGTTTTATGTATAGATTTAGATCATATCTCTGATATATAATGACATTAGCGTCACATACACATGTTCCCCCGTGTATTTATGTTTTGGTCAAGCACACAGGTTGGTGTGTGTTGTATGTGTTCACCACGTTACCTTCATTTCTTTTTATTATCTGTGCAAAAACAATAGGCTAGAGCAATAGTAGAGTGGGTGGGGCACTGCCCATACATTAGTCTAACCCAGATTTGATCCCTGGCACCCCACATGATCCCTGAGCCCAGCCAGGAGTGATCTCTATACAGAGCCAGGAGCAAGCCCTGAGCACATCTGGGTGTGACCTAAAAACAAAACAAGAAGCCAGTCTTTGCTTACAGCACTGGGGGGCAGACTGTAGTCTGTATTGCCAGGCAGTAATTAAGCTCTCCCCACTCATCGGGGGTCAGGGGCATGTGTGTTTCTGCTTTGGCTTCATGCCAGGAAGCATAGAGGATCCTCGCCCTGTGCTCCAAGTAAAACAGAAGCCAGAGATGTGTAGAGCTAATGCGGTTTGCAGGTCGTAACTGCGGGTGGGGGAATCTTAAGTCAATTTTACTTTTTTTCATTGGCAGATGATATTTTATACAGCTATATAATAACTATGATATTTATAATAGTGATAATTCTATAGTCATTTTAAAGAGCGTTACTATTGTAAAATGTTCACATACTTTTGTCGTAAGTGATTTGGTGATAATATGAAAATAAAGTTTTACTTCCAATTTTTTTTCACAGGTGATTATGGGAGTGCTATTGAGACATTGGTGACTGCAATTTCTTTAATTAAACAATCCAAAGTATCTGCTGATGATCGTTGCAAAGTTCTTATTAGCTCTTTGCAAGATTGCCTTCATGGAATTGAATCCAAATCTTATGGTTCTGGATCAAGGTAAAACTTTCCAGTTTCATGTCTCCTAAAAGTGTTAATTTGCAAATAGGGAATAGATTGTGCTTTGGCACTATAAAATCATATCTGACATTTCTTTTCACTCAGTAGCTGTAATGAATAATTTTCAAACTCTAAAAATCTAAATCAGGTTTCAGATCTTTGCTTAAAAAGACTTTCAGTTATTCTTGGAATTTATTAACATGATATATAGTACTTATCTGTCTGTTAGCACCATGTACCCCTATCCCTTGCTCACCCATTGGTCTCCCTTCTCTTTCTTTTGGTACACTGGGTCATTGACTGTTACATTGTTTTTGTACTTATCATTCCTTTCACTGAAACCGATGTTCCTGATCTCGTCACATAAACAATGCTTGGTGCAGAAGAGTGCTAAGTAACTATATTTAGAATAAGAAAATTAGTTTCTTGTCAAGGCTGGGGATTATTGTATTTTTTTGTTGTTGTTGAGTTGGTATTGAGGATTGTACCTAGGGGCAGGGAGAGCTCTACTGCTGAGCTGTATTCCCAGCTATTTTCTCAAATTTTTGTTAGGAAGTTCCCACTCTCTACCCTTGCCCTATTTTTCCCCAGCACTACTCTAAAGTGGTCTTAAGGTTTTATAATTTTTCCAAAGATATATCTGATCAATGAGCTAATTTAATTTAAATATTTCTAATGTATGTTTAAATCTAACTGTCTGGTGCAGAAATACAAAGATATTTAAACTGATAGAAACTTTCTATTTTGTGTGCATTTCAGGATTTAGTTAAGCAGGATTTCTAGAAAGTGTAAATACTTAATGGGTTTTTGTTGTTGTTGTTTTCTTTTGGGACCACACCCAGGGATGCTTAGGGGTTGGGCCTGGCTCTGCATTCCGAAATCATTCCTTATAGTGCTTGTAACTGTAGGTGGTGCTGGGGATTGAATCTGGGTTGGCCGCATGCAAGACCTACCTGCCGTACTGTCTCAGAACCCCATCAGGGAAATAGTTGGGTTCAGTTACCTGCTCTTTGAAAATAAGGCAACTCATGGATTATTTTTTTTTTAATTAGGAGTGCAAGTAGTATCCTGATCTTTCCTGAAAACTTAATTACTATGTTTTCACTTTGCTATCTACCATCTCATCTTCCCATCTCACCCTCACCCCCATCCTCACTTTTTTTTTTTTTTTTAAATTTTGGATTACACACAGCCATTTCAGGGCTGACTCCTGGCTCGGTACTCACATATCTTTTGGTGGGCTTACTTAACAGACAATACAGTATGTTAGACATTGAACCTGGTTTGGCTGCATGCAAGGCAAGCGCTCTACCTGCTGTATTATCACTCTAGCCCCATAATAATTTATTTGGTTTTGAGGCCATACCCAACAGTACTTAGGACTTATTCCTGGTTCCATGCTTTAAATTCTACGTCCTGTTAGAACTTACGGGACAAGTTTAGGGTTTTAGACTTTAATCGGGCAAATGCCTTACTTTACAAAAGTGCCTTACCTACCAGAGTAGCTATCTCTCCAACCCAAGAAAGGTTCTTAGTATCATAGTACTTACACTAAACCATATTTTGTTATAAGTGTAAAATCAGTATGTGTGTAGTTCTAGGGAGTTAATGGTTGATAATACTTTGTGTATTTTAGGCCCATGGTATATTGAATGGTTTTATGAATCTTAACCTTTTGTGTTATTTAAACTTAAAGTATAGGTTCTTTGAAATTTTCTCCCAGATTCTGATTTTCACTCATTCAAAGATGCATGTCTATATTAGGTTACATTGTTACATTAGGTAAAAGGTATATCTGTTACATCTGGTTCCCAATTCAGGCGTAAATTTTTTTTTAAGTTTATATTTAATTTTGGTTTTGGGGCCACACCTGGTGGCACTCAGGCCTTACTCCTGGCTTTGCCCTTGGGAGTTACTCCTGCTGGTGCTCAGGGACCATATGGAATGCTGCGGATTGAACCTGGGATAGCAGCATGGAAGGCAAGCTCCCTACCTGCTGCACTATTGTTTTAACCCCTGGTTGCTTTTTGGGTCACACCTGGCTCTGCACTCAGGAATTACCCTGGCGGTGCTCAGGGCACCATGTTGGGTGCTGAGAATCATGCCCTACCTGCTATGCTATCGCTCCAGCCGTGGTAAATATTTTTTTTTAAAGGGGCTTTGTAGTTCATGCTTTTAGGTAAGTTGGTATATACTTGGTATTTTGGGATAGAAAGTTTAAGCTAGACTTATAATCAATTTTTTGCCTTCCTCGGTATTTTTAATCACCAAGTATTTAATGTTTCCTTGTGGAAAGCATTAATCCAGTAATTTCTTTTAGAAGACGTGAACGATCAAGAGAGAGGGACCATAGTAGATCACGAGAAAAGAGTCGGCGTCATAAATCTCGAAGTAGAGATCGCCATGATGATTATTATAGGGAGAGAAGTAGAGAACGCGAGAGACATCGGGATCGAGATCGGGACCGAGATCGAGAGCGTGACCGAGAGCGGGAATATCGTCATCGTTAGAAGGTGGGTAGTCCCTTGTTCCTGTTGTATGAGTGCATTTATTACTAACAGTAATTATAACTGACACTATTGTTTATACAGTATAAACATTTTAAGTTGGACCATTTAATCTTCCAGAGAAAGCCAAATGACAGGTAAGTAATGAAAGGTAAAATTTTCCCTCTTACTGTTTTGTGTCACAACTTTTAGGTTTCAGGTTGCTACTGTTAATGGTTTGTTTTAAGAAAGCAGGAAAATAAATCAAGAGGACTCATGCTCGGCTTCTAAAATCTTAAAAATTGGAATCTCTTATTCACAAACATTTGTATATTTTAATTATTTAAAATAGGAATTAATATCTATATGTATAATGTGTTTGAACTTGAAATAAATTTTGTTTTTCTCCTCGAACTAATGTTTTCATCTGTCACTAAAACATTTAAAAGAACATCTAGTACATTATTGATAATACAGGAGATGGTTTCTCAACCCTGAAAGATGTTTTGTCCTTAAAAAATTTTAAGAAAAGTTTTGTTTATTAAAAAAAAAAGTATCCTTTAGTTTGTAAAAAAAAAATACAAAAAAGTGCCAATGAAAATGGGTACAGGGTGTTTCTTACATAATTTAAAATTGTACCAAGTCATATCTTAAGTTAAAATAACATAAAAGCAATTTTCTTTGATGTTTCATTCATGAACCATGATCATTGTGTCTTGTTTTTTCTGTACTTTAAAGCTATTTCTTGTGTACATTTCTCATAAAGCAGAGGAAGAGTTGTCTGTTTATACTTCATTTTCATGTGTAATTTTATTTTTATATTTGTAAACAGCATTTATTCATGTGAAAAGGGGGAGAGGGGCACTATATGCCTTGTTCATGTAACAAAAGTTATTCTGTATACAAGTTGTCCCCCCCACACACACACGCACACACACACTTTCTTCATGTTATTGTGGAATATTCAGGTTAAATTAGGATAAAACAGATTCCTTGTGGTAAACTATACTTCATCTAATTATTTTCCATGATGTTGGAAATTGTTAGTATTTACATTGTGTGGGTAAAATCCTATGTCGGGTATATGTAAATATGTCATAGAGGAGTAGTTTCTTTATAATAGGCATTTTAACAAGCATGATTCTTATTTTTCAAGTCTTTTCAGGTCTTATTTTTATGGTACACAAATAAGTTATTACATTACTAAGTGCTTTTTGAAGTGAAAAGGCCAGTTTCAATGCTTTTACTTATATTTTAAATATGCACTTTGAATAATCTCATCAAAAATTTTAAACGTTTTTTGTGTATTGTAGAATTCAATATAAGTGATTCTCAAAATATTTCCTTAATGTGAGCAAAACATCTTTCACTTTCAAAACTAAGCTTACTTAATGTTGGTTCTGGTTTGTAATGTGAATAAGAAAAGAAAGCTTTATCTTGTAAATATAAACCCTAAAATTTTAAAATACAGCTCTTCCCCCTGAATGGATTTGAGTTCATCTTATGGGGAAAAAAATAAATTTCTGGGGCCAGTGCGATAGTATAGCACTTAGGGAAATTTTGCCTTGCATGTCGCCCACCTGGGTTTGATTCTCGGCATCCCATATAGTTCCCTGAGCACTGTAATTCCTCAGTGCAGAGCCAGGAGTAGGCCCTGGCTTACTTAGAATGATAGTAAATTCTTGCATAAATTTTTGGCATCTCCAGTATTGGATGTGCTCATAAAGGGCATTTCTGAATCAATTTATATCTAGAAGTTTTCTTGCCGATTTTCATTAAGCTAGCATAGACAAGTAAACTTCGGAAAATTTAATTATATTCTAATGGTATACCCAACTTTATCATGACTGTTTGCATTAGCCAGACATTAATTGTGAATTCCCAACTTGTGAACAGTTGTTGACTTTTTTCTTGATCACTGATGTACCACCCCAAAATTCCCATGTTTTATTTGTAATTAGAATTGAGTTGTGATACTGTTATATGCCTTCACCCAACCAAAATTTTACATAAGCATTTTCTAGGTGGAACATTGTTAACTTGGAATATTGGTCCTTTGCTATACCAGTCAAGTCGTATTTATTGTGGATGTAGACCTTAATAAAGGGATGGGGGCTAGAATTAAATATATAATAAGTAAAAACTTATTTCAACAAACAAAAATGCTTATCTGCAAATTAAATAACCATTTGAGGTCTGCTGACCACTTAAGTTTTTAAATATGAGTCCTTTTGAGCTTGTGTATCATAAATGAATGAAATGGAACGAATAGTTTGGAAGCTAACATGAATTTTAGCAATAAGTTGTATATAAATAAGCCACTAATGGATAATTTATTATAAAAGTGATGATCAATTGCTAAAAGGGCTACTTCTTAATTTAACTGGAAAAATAATTATGTTGGCAAGCTGTTAATGTCTGTCCCATCTTAATTTTTTTTGTGTTTGAACTGTTGGTGATGTTAATTGCATTCTCTCATTTTTAAAATGTACAAATTTTTCTAAAAACATTCAGTATCTAAGTTGAAATAGATATTTAATGGGAATATCGGTATTGTAAATTTCATGAAGTATGTAAAAACATTGTGCCTTCATATTCTGTAATTTCTGCCTCTATTCTCAGACCACTCTGAGCAAAACATAGTTCATTGTTTTAAGATCGTACACACACTGAAAACTTTTAGTTTCATAATTTTGTTGTTTGAAACAACCCTATCCAACAAATTCATATTATTTTTTCTTTGTGCATTGAAGAGTAATGAAACAAGGTTTTTTTTTTTTAAACTGTACTCCATTCATGCTTTTCTCTCCGATAGGTTTACATACATATTATCAGATCATGATTTCTTTTTTGATACAATTTTAAAGATGCATGAATCTGGATTAAGTAGCTATACTGTATGATTCCTTTTCTCTTAGCAGTAGTGTTACTTTTCTCTTAAACCTAGTATTTACTAGGTTTTGTTATCGAGCAAGATTTATATGCTTTGCATTCTTAGTTTATAGCTTTGTATCAATCTTGGAGAAGCAGAAAAACAGTAGAATAGTTTTAATGTAATCTTGTTTAGTTAGTGGTTCTTCCAATAATTTGTTAAGTGATAATGGTAATAAAAATGTTTAATTATATCAACTCTCATACCTCTTGAGATTTGTCTAATATTGTCCTACCCAGATTTTTGTTGTGTTTTCTTTCCCATGTATCCTAACTGTTCTGCTTCTCCTGAATACGTTGTTTCTTGCTGCTTTTGATCGAAAATATCCTTGGTTTTAGTAGTTATTTGCACAATGTGACACAGCTATCTTAATTCAAATAGCAAGGTGGTAGGGAGTGATCCCATGTGGATTTAAAATGTTTTTGCTCACTGTGGTTTAAGAATATGGTTTTGTTTATAAATGATTAATGTTCCCTGTTAAGAAACTATTCAATGCAAGTGTGAGTCACTTTGCTCTCACTTTCATCTCAGTGTGAAATTTACTACCATTGTTTTGGTTTGTAAATTAGATTGTTTTGAACAATGTTTTGGGTGAATAGTTTGAAGAGAGCCTAATTTTAAAAGGGAGTGGGGTAAAGGTGCCATGTATGCTATCCATATTTACTGATGTGCCTTCTGTGGTAGCATGTTTTAACTCGAGTTCAGACTTATACTTTATACTATTAGCTTATTTTGAAATATCTGTTCTGTGAAATTTTGGGAGTAAACCTTGAGTTTACTTTGTAGTGGTTTATTTCTGCTGTTTGAACTGCCTGGTTCGTGTTTATGTTTTATATATGGAATAAATGTTTTAGTTTAAATGAGGTAAGTACTGTGAAGCATAGAAAAATGAAAAAAATATGTTACAGTACTTAGGAACTCTTTTGTAAATACAACAAAATTTTATGAAGTATATTCTGGTCAACACAAAATTATTTTTAAAAATTGAGTTGTGTTTGGGGGCTTCTATTTATTTTGCCTACCTCATTCCCAATTATCTCATCAAGGAGAAATTTTCATAGAAAAGTGAATTTTATTTCACTGAGCTAATAAAGGTACATCTTAAATTACATTAGAATAGTTTTAATCCCATATATTGACATGGAGACCTATCTTTAAAAGAGCCATATTAAATAGATATTTTAATCTTCTGACAGATTAATTTGCCATGAGTTTAGTATAATTGATTTGTCAAATTTGATTAGCTAAGTTTCTAATGGGAGTCCTCATAATTTGAGTTGTTAGTGTAAAGTAAAAAGTAAAGGCCCTCCCGTTGATCATCGATTTGCTCGAGCGGGCCCAGTAACGTCTCCATTGGAGACTTTGTTAGTGTAACATTTTAAAATGCAAGTGTTCCATATTTATTTAGTACTCATTTTATGGCTGGAGCGATAGCACAGCGGGTAGGGCGTTCGCCTTACAAGCGGCCAACATGGCCGACCCGAGTTCGATTCCTCCGCCCCTCTCGGAGAGCCCGGCAAGCTACCGAGAGTATTCGATATGCCAGACACAGTAACAACAAAGTCTCCAATGGAGATGTTACTGGGCCCGCTCGAGCAAATCGACGATCAACGGGAGGGCCTTTATCTTTATCTTTATCTTACTCATTTTATAGAGGACATTAAAAGATCTGTAGATTATATTGTCTTCAACAGTTATTCTTTACATTCTTTATTAAACTGATAGTTAATTGTGTGGCTTTGCCCAAATTGTGTTTTGAAAACATGACCATTGAATGTATTTGTTGCTTTCAAAATCCTTTTTTTTTGATATTCTTGTTTCTATAGATGACTACTTAGAAATCTGAGAATACAGTTTGGAATTGGGTTATTGGAAATGGGTTGTATTGCCTTCAAATTTGCTTTTGTTTGAGATTGTAAAACTTGTATTTTCAAATGGATTAATGTAAAGTGTTTAGGAATAGAAATACTGTCAGACTATTCCCTACATTTTATATATGGTGAAAATTAGACTTAGTAGTAGTATAGTCTACCTATAAAGTGTAATCAAGAAAAAGATGAGTGCCTATGTCCAGGTAAAGGTGGGAAAGTTATAATTTCATCAATACATTTTTTTCCCCTTTTTTCTTAATTTTTGGGCCACACCGGGCAGGGGTTTTTTCTGGCTCTGTGCTCAGGGATCACTTGTGGCAGACTCGAGGGCCCTAGGGGGCTCCAGGAACCAAATCTGGGTCAACTGTGTGCAAGGCAGATGCACTTGCCACTGTAGTATCTCCAGCCCTTCATCATCAAAATTTTTCTACCTAAAATCATTAAAACTTCTCCATTGGAGTGATAAATGAAAGTCGTCATTTGTGCTTCAGGTTTTTTGGGAAGGTGTTGGATACTGTTAATATGATTTTATTTTTTTTTCCTTTTAATGACCCAGTCTTTTCTCCCAGCCAACAAATCTTCAGCAGTAAGATTTGTTAATTTCCCAGTGTATATTTTAAAAAGGATATATTCCTCATATCACGTTCTTTAATACCAGTTTCTTAAATGTTGCAAGTCACTTTTTTACAAAAAGAAAGCTGCCTTTTTAGATTTTTCTATGACCTAATTCTGCCAGAAAGCTTTAATGATCTGAAAAGGTACAAAATAAAAACTAACACTGGAAGTGACCTAAGTGACTCTGGAAAACATGGGCTAATAAAAGTTGGGTAGGGGAGAGGGAGTACAAACTTAATCACTTGTTTTTCCTCTTACAGTGTGATATTTAGACATGTATATTGATGCTTTCAAAATACAAACCAGTTGGGGAGGACAGAAACAAAATGATAAATTTATAGCTGAACAGAATATTTTATTACAGGGCTAAAGAGTATTCTTGCAGTTTTATGGCAAAATATCACTAGTATTGTTCCTCTTTGCCTTTTTCCCCCTCATCTTTTTGAAATTCCAAATTGGAATTTGTCTTAAATATGTGATGTTCTCAGTGATCACTTATATCCAAGTTTAATTGAATTAATGCTTTTGTGAAATTGCCTGAAGTTTGCATATTGTATATTTTATTTTATCAAATTAATTGTTTTTAAAAATGTGAGTTTCAAATGGAGCTATTGTAGATTTTCCATTTAGCTTTTTTGGTTTTGATTTTGGTTTATATACTACCTTAGCTATATTAATATAGGTGCAATAGAGTATGTTTTAAATTTGTATTTTGTCTAATGATTTGTATGTGGATGTCATTTGAATGTGCATACTGAGCTTTATCTTTATTTCTAAATTTTGTAACATGAAGCACAGTTTGATTTATAATATTTGCAGTAGTTCCTGTATGCTGTCAAATAAATGCAACTAATTTGTAAAATATATTGCATTTTCAGTTCACATTTGTTAATGCGTTATATAGACTTGTGTGGGTGGATGAAAAGTACATACATTTAAGTCACCTAAACATTTTACCATTTAATTTTGTAGTATGCATACTTTAGAGAATTAAATGTTTCCATCATCATAGAAACGGTAGCTGCTATATTTTTGTTTTTCATCATTGAATTTGTCAATATCTAAGAAGAACAAATCAGATTGTCCATTCTAACCATCACATAAATTGGAAGCATTTCTCTACAAAGGCAGCTACAGTTTCAGTTAACTTCTTATTCTGTGTTTGAATACGTGACAGTGAAATAGATGCACGAACTGTGTATGTATAGTTAAGCCAGCGTTTTTTTGTTTTTTTTTTTTTTTTGGTGTATTATGGGGAATAGCAAAATCTACATCACAAATTTTAACACATTACAGCTGAAGGAAGAGGAACACCTTCCAAGACAAAACATCTTCATGAGGGAAAATTGACGCTTGTCCAGCAGTTTGCTTCTTGCGATTGAACTGAACCTGTAAGGATTCATGGATAAAATGAACAGGAATATATCTGAATAAAGCAAATCTGCGTAAATGGTAACCAGTAGCTCTACTTTTATTTTTTATGTTGCTTAACTGTTTTTATTTGAAGGAAACCTGTGTGATTTAAAAAGTTATAGCTTTTGCAACTTTATTACTGGTTATATACATTTGGCCATTATAATGTGCAAGCAATTGGAAAAACGTCAAGTAAATGCTTGTTTTTATAGTAGTTTGTTCTTGTTAAAAATGTTCATATGATAATGTCTGTAAACAGCACCACTTTGATTACAATAGATGTAGTGTTGTAATAAACTGTTTAATGGGGCTGATGTGTAAAGCTGTTCAAGTTATTTGATGTTTACACCTCAGGGAAAGTCTTGTGTTCAGCAATATCTGAAGATAATGTTACTATGACATTTATACTGTCCTTTAAAAAAGCATTGCAATAGCGGTTTTTTGAATATGCATCAAACTAATCTTGCATTCAGTGAATTAAACATACTAATTAAGTGTCTCTTGCCCTTGATTTTGATAATAGAGTAGGTGATTACCTGGATATTAAATATTTCTATATTCTGCTTTTTTTTTTTTTTTAGCTATTTCTATCTAATTAGCTTGTGACTTTTCTGAATGGTATGTGAACCTGTAAAAACTGAAATTTCACAGACAAAAGAATTCAGTCAATGTGTTAGGGGTCAAAAATTGTGGGTTTCAGCATTTTAGTAACATCCTACATTATTTACTAGTGTTGCAACTTAATTACAACACAGATATACTGAGTCATTTAATTGTAAACTGCTAGCATTGAAGAAATATTTTTGCAGTTCTGATTTGATGCAGCAGTTGTTTTCTGTTTTTTATCGATAGTGCTTATGGTTTATTTGTGAACCATGGGCAGTGTAAATAGTCAGATGTGCAGCAGACAAATGTGAGTAAAGAAAGGTAGCCTTAGTTTTATTTTCCAGTTATTGTAGATGCTGGAGTATGATGTTTAATATCAATTGTATTCTCCTGTCTTTGTAAATGGGAGAGCATAGGTGTATCCTATCCTCACAGTTTAAGGAATTCTATGTCTACTTACACAATCTTGTTTCACACTAGTGTTGCTTAATCAGAAACATTTCACACCTGCCTTGCCTACAGGCCCTCACTAAAAACAACTGGCTAGCATGTTTTCGTAATTGTAAAATTAGTATAGGCAGTATCAGCATGATTAGATGGGTTTTTTTAATAGGAAGGTCATTCTGAATCACTGCTTAAATTTGACTTTAAATTCTTAAGCAAATTAATTTGTTTTATAATGAAATGGAGGGGCCATTCCGAAGTGGGTTGGGTTTGATTCTCATTTCATGTCAGTTTAGCTTGAGGGCCTGAGACTGCTGTCGCTCTGGCCTTGCAGTGCCAAGATACCCAGACCACCCCAGTGGCGCTTAGGGTTGGAGGACAAGGGGGCCATGTAATGCCAGGAGTCGAACCTGAGTAATGCACAAGCTCAAAATGCTCCCTACCTACTGTACTATTTGGCCCCTGTTCAGAAGACTTCATGATACACGTTGGTATTACTTTAAAAAACAAAAGCTATTTAGCCAAATTTTAAGGCCATGTGCAGCTGTAGGAACCCTCCAGAGATATGCACTGCAGTTCTTCACTTTGATCTTGTCCAGTATCACACTACTTCTTACACAGTTATTTCAGATCACTCCTGTTATTTTCAGTTTTCAATTAGAGTATTTGTGCATGGGATCAATGGTGTGTATCGACTGTTTGCTCTCAAAAATGATTTTTTTAATTGTTTCATCTTGTTGAAAATGCAGTTGCCTTTTTCAAACATTGGAGTGTTGTATCAAAGTCGGTTTGGTTTTGTGTATAGGTAATAGGTTTGTCATTACTTGGCTTTTTAAAAAAGTAGATAAATTACAATGTGAAGAACAGATTCCAAGGGAAATTAGTTAATTGTAAACTTTAAAAGGTAAGTAAATGTATGAGAGTAAAATTTTTCTCTGAACAATTTTGAAATCAATTCATAAAAAAAATCTTGACTGTGCTTGAACTTGAAACTGGAAATTTTGTACAAATTAAGTACTTTATTATTTAACTTTTATCAGTGAAATCCTATACGTGATCATTTTTATATCACTCTTCTCCCCACTTGGCTGATCTCATGTGACTTGTTGCAAACAATGAGTGTACTAGAATTGTTTGCTGCTGCTCCATTATTTTAAGTGTTGTCAGAGGAAGTAACTTTGTTTTGACCAATTTTTGCAAAGTCTTTCCCTGTCTGATAACACATGATGAATGTATAGCAGTAAAAGTGAAAATCTGAAAGCCTTGTTTACTCTTTATATCCCATTTGTTTTTAATGGGCTCATGTTATTTGGGAAAAAACAATTTATGTGTAAAACAATCCAAAGAGAAATCTTAAGACGCCAAAAAAACCAAAACAAAAACAAAAAAAGCACCAGTGTCTCAGAGACCTTTACTTTCTGTTTTTTGCTTTTTGTTATGGTGCCAGGGTGGTACCCAGGGCCTCACCCATGCAGGCTGTGATCTACCACTGAGCCACGTCCCTGGCCCTTTAATAGTTACTGTAGTGGATATGAAAATTGTTTACCATGGCAATAGTGCTATCAGTCACATTCCTTTCAGCCAGTTATGAATGAGTGATATAGCACCTCAGAGGTACTACTTCTGAAACAACACTTTAAATTGAATTTGCTGCTTTTGGTTAACATATATTATGAGAATTATATTTCAGTGTGAATTTGGAAGTGTTCACAGTTCTCAAGCAGATTTGAAATAAGTTGCAGTGGCTTTTGATAATACTTTAGCCCATTAAATGACTTCTTTACCTAGAATGTTCTTAAACAGTTTAACTACAATTTCAACTTTACAAATAATTTAGGGGATTGAGTTTAAGACATTTTTATTTAATTCTCCTATGGAGAATATTGCTTTTTTGTTTTCATTAGTTTAAGGTCAGTTCTTAAACATGGAAGTTTAATGAATGTTGTATTATAACATTTTATAGTAAAAGGGGGAAATTGTTGAAAGGGTAAAGACTTATTTTCCTTTATGTATTTAAATGTGCCAATAACATAAATACATGCTGTTTTATACACTGAGATACTACTATAGGAATTTCTGTTTGAGTGCTCTCAACGTTTTGTTTTGTTTTTTTTATACCGGGATGGTCATTGTGTTTTATGTATCTTACAGAACAACTCCAACTTTGTTTTAAGCTTTAGCTTGTTATTTTAAGAGGTATTTTGTATTTAATTTTTTTTCTGAGAATCATTACTTGGATTCTTGTTTTGCAGATAACTTTTCGAATTTTATTCCCTTAGCTCATTACATCCCATAGTCATCTGTAAATGTAACCGTAGTTGTATGTACTTAAATGCACGCTTACCCATTGTATATATTAGACATTTTGTGCTAAAATATATTGAGTGGGATTTTTGTAGCAAAGCATTCTATTTTTCTGTTCTTACTCTGTGTGTGTGTGTGCGCGTGTGCGTGTGTGTGTGTTTTTTCAACATTAATATTCAGTTTAAACACTGGTGTATTTATTTTTTAGCAACTTAACTCTTAGAAGCCTTAGACTAATATTTAAGTGACTATTTAACCAAAAATTACAAATTTATTAAGATGTGGCCTTACATACAGCATTCCTTGTGTTTGTAATGTGAGATTTTTAATTTAGAGAAACCAAAACATTCAGGATTAAAGTTTAAGTTGAAATAGAAACATGTTAAAATGTCTAGGCTTCTGGGAGGGAGTTCTTACACTTCTTTCTTGGCATTATTAGAAAGAAGCAACATGAATTGTTGTGAAAATTCAAAATAGGCCATTGTTTCCTGTCTGGATTGATTTAGGTTTGTCTTAACCAATGTTTTTTTAAAGTTTCAGGTTGTTGGCATTCACTCTGAATATGCAGCTACTCTAGTTTTTTGTATGAAACAAACACCTGGTTAGGTTATAAACTGATATTTTAAAGACTACTTGCTATGCTAATTATAATGCATATTATAATGAAAGTCTTTTAAAATATTAGCAGGAATTTAATTGAAGTCACACAAATCTTGAAATGGTATCTGCAGATAGGAAATACTACCTACAGTTTCTTGTGTGGGAGCAGCCTAAAACTCCACTACAAGTGTAAATGTTTTACATTCATTTTATAATTGGACAGATTTGCATTTAGTGGAAAAAAAAGTTTTGAAGATGTGTTCTTTTTTCCATGCTATTACTGCATAACACCTCAGCATTTTGTAAGTTAAAATTATTTTTAAATGGTGAATTCCTGTTTTATTTTTTTACTTTGAAAATTGTAGTACTCAGGTGGTATTTAATGGGAAAGGATCCTTTGGGGGTAAAACATAATGTGTTCTAAGGAATGCGTCTATAACATTAATGACTCCAGCCTTAAAAAAAGGTCTATTATTCCTTCTGCCTCTTCATCCCATGGTGTATTAGCAAAGTAGTTTACAGCCTTGTACAGCCTTACAAGTTGTTTTATAATTTTTAATGGAAAGCCCTTAACAAAAAATTGTATCATATTACCAGTATCCATAAATCACTGAATTCCGGTTTGTAAATAATTGTCTAATACCAGAAGGCCAAAGAAAGTCTTAAAATTTTAGCTTTGACTCTAAGGTGACTTCACAATAAGATTTCTGTGCAAAAGGTAAGGTAATATTTGATCAAATAGACTTTTTTTGGTGTCCATGAGAACTAGACTTCCACATTAGTTTCTATTAAATTCATTCCATTTTTATTAAAATGCTTGTAATTGCAATTTTGTGTTTAATGTTTATTTTGTTTTTTTCTTTAGCATTTAGGTGACTATTCAGCAGTTTGCTATAAGACCATTGTTGGCCTTAAACTGCACTAGTAACAAGCATGGTTATTTATCTTGTATTGAAAATAAAGCAGTTTTGATACTACTTTGCAGTTTGTCATCTTTGGCAATTTGTTGGTAACTATCGTGTGTAGTTTTGAGTTATTCGTGTATATTGATAATGTATACAATTGTACAAATTGAATGGTTGTCTGCCAGATTGTCTCTAGACAAGCAAACATTTCCACCTGCTAGCTTAGAGGGAGACTTGGGTACTTTAGAAAACAGTACAAATTTGTGCACTCGTCGGGCTGTTTTTCACATCCAATATTTTAGAGTGTATCAAAGGCACCAGCTTTGATATCGTTTTCAACATTGCTGGGGGCCCCTTTAGTGTCTCCATTAAAATTGTGAATCATGGTTTTGGGTTTTTGCCCCCTCTGTTTTTGTTGTTTTGGATCACACCCAGTGGTGCTCAGGGCTTTTTCTTGCTCTGCCCCAGGGCTACTCTTGGCAGACATCGTAGGGGGTGCCAAGGATCAAGCCTGAACTGGCTGCGTGCATGCAAGGCAAGGGCCCCACCTACATGTTTGTCTCGAAAGCCCTTGAGTCAGGTTTTGTTAAGCGCCCTAGTATTCTGATGGGATTACATTTTGAGGATTCATTGATCCTCACTTGGAACAAATTAAGACTGCAGAGGGCATTTGGCTGAAAGATTGCTAAGAGCATCTTTGTACCTGGTGCCATACTCGCTCCACAGGAACTCAGCGAGATAGTGGAAATGGGGGCTTTCTAATTAAGGAATTATACACACATTCTTAGTTTTATTTACTGATGATTACATGAAACAAATAGTAGCAATGCCTTTCAAGGCTGTGGGGTCCTCCCTCTTGGTGTTTTTATCTTTTGCTAGCAGGCTTTAGATTCGCATGTTTGGTCAGTGTCTGCCAACTGCTGTGGTCTGTCAGATTTAGATTCGTAACATTTTCTTTCCAAAAACACATGTTTAACTCACAGTATTGTTTTATAAAGTCCCATGGAGACCTGAGGAAGGCATGAAACTTCATTTGGTAAAGAGGAAAAGCACCTACAATCTAGGCAGAGAAGTTTGCACAAGAAATTTTGGGCAGGAGGGAGCAAGGATACCAGTTTGACTGAAGGCAGCGTGAAAAACGTTTCTTGTGTATGGTGCTGAAGAAATAGGCAGCAGCCAATCTATAGGAGTGTCAGTTCAGAGCACCTCCAGCTGTGGTGCCCCACCCCACCTTCAAATTTTTTTTTTTCAATTGGAAATTGAAATGTGTCTTGTCAGAATTAGATTAGCATCTGAAAGGCTGCGTATTAAGACTGGAAAACAAAGCCAATGATGATAACTATTAAGAAACTTTAGAGGGCTGAGCAGTAGTGCAATGTGTAGGACCATTGGAACTTGGCTTGGATTTAACTGACCTAGGTTCAGCCACCATATGATCCCCTGAATATTCCCAGGTGTGGTCCCCCTTCACCCACTCACCGCAAGAAAAAGGAACTTTTTTCTTCAACTATAGGAAGATAATGGATAATAAAAGTAAAGAAAAAATGGTGTAGTAAGAGACCTAGGAGACAAAATTGGTAATACTTGACGTTTGGGAATGAGGTGGATGACTTTATGTATTGTCATCTATCTGAGATGGAAATAATTGGGAAATGTTTTGTAAACTGAATTGGTGCCTTCAGATCCAAAAAACAGGTAGTTCTGTGTCTGTATGGTTTGGAGTTTAGAAGACATAGATTAAAACCATCACTTCGTAGTAGCTGTATGTACGCTATAAGTAGAGTGTACTAATGTATGTAGGCTATAAGTAGAGTGAAAATTTTTAAGACATTTTTCTTACTTTTCTGAAATAGAAATGTAGGTGTGGGTGCAGTGTTTTCCAGCTTAAGCTGAAGAGAATGATGCAGGGTTGTCGAAACAGGCCTAAGGGTGTAACACTTGCCTTATTTGCAGCCATCTCCGCTTGGGTCTGCAGCACCACATAACGGCCTTCAAGCAGCCAGGGTCATTCCTGAGCCCTGTCAGGCCCAAATGCCCCCTGTCGCTCCCCCACCGTTAAATCTTGCTGAAGATGGTGTACAGCAACACATACCAGTATCTCAGGGCAGGGGAGGGCTGTCCTCTATGTTTTTCTTCGTGTGACAGCTATCTCTCTAGGTTGCTTTAATTTAATCTGTTAATGAAGTGACATTGGTTTACAAGAATTCAAATGTTTAATACACTTCAGGGGTGTAGTGTGCCATACTTGGATTTTTATAGAAACATGTCCGATAAGTTATTTCACAAGAGGCCTGTGGACTCTGAACAGGTTTTGAATGTTATCAGTGAGGTTTCATTGCATTAGTGCAGGCCTTAAAAAGTCAGGAGTTGGGGCCGGAGAGTATGGTAGAACGCTTGCCTTGCATGTGGCTGACCTGCGTTCAATCCCCTGGCATCCCATATGTTGTCCTGAGTACTGCCAGGTGTGGGCCCCCATGAAAGTACTTGGTGGGGCTAGAGAGAGATTACAGCAGGCAGGGTGCTGCCTTGCACGTGGTAGACTTCAGTCGGCAACCTATCTCCCCAGATTGCTCATTATCACCCTATCACAGTTCTCAGGAGTAAACCCTGAGAACTGCCTGCTGTGGCCGAAAAGAAAAAAGTATACTTAAAAAGCAGTTCAAGGTTAGATATTACATTACTGTAAAAAGTCAGGTTGCTGGAGAGCAGGTAGGGTGATTAGTGTTGCACATGGCTGGCCAGGCTTTGACTCCCAGCATCCCATATGGCCCCCATGTCCATAGTCAGGAGATGGTTACTGAGCACAGAGCCAGAGTAACCCGAACATCACCATGTGTGGCCCCCCAAAATAACCACAAAAGTTAGCTTTCCCAAATCCTGAGCATTGTAATTCTGCAAGATACTGTGCTCGGATCTTAGCATATTAAACTGGGTTTTGACAGCTGTTCTTTTAATCTTAAAATTGTGTTGTAAAATAAATTTTATTTATTATGGTACATATGCCTATTTAGTGTACCCAGGATTGAGAACTTCCATGCCAAAAGGCAGCGGCAGTGAGTGGAACCATAAGCGTGTTGTCATAGGTACTTTCACAGAAACTAACTTACATAGCTCACATACAACTGAATTGATGTAGTACTTAGCGTGATGACGTTTTGAAAGCGTTGGCGTCAATTTAATAATTGACCTTCACTGCAGTATGCTGTAGAATCCCGAGTATCTTTTTGGTTTCCTCCTCAGGGATCAGTTCTATTACCTCTTCAGCTTTTCCATCTTGATGGGACAGGTAAGGAGAATCAGCTTAATGAAAAACAAAATGCAAGCATTTAATGTGCTTGACTTTTTTGGAACATGGTTTCAGAATGTAAAGATTGCAACAACTATTCAGTGAATTTGGTATTGGTTCAGCTCATAGTACACCAGTTGTATAAATACTAGACTGTAGAAATCCTTTTGTATGATTCCAGGATTGCTGGCCACCATTCCATAAAATGTAAATAAGCTCTCCGTTTTATTTCCTGTTCCTTGTCAACAGGGTGTGGGACTGCCTGCCAGCCTATAAGTGGCTGTGTAATACTGACTCTAGTAGGCACTAAAGGAAAAGGGAGACCAGCACGCCTCCTCACACCTCCTGAGAAAGTTCCTACCTGCTCCCCCCCCACCCCATTTAAGAAATGTCAAGACTGGAACACACCCTCATCAGTTAGCATGAGTTGGTAGGAAAAGCAGGAAGTTAGAAATGAAGATTTTTAGTTATTAGATTGAGGGGGGTGGCAGGGACCGCATCCAGTGGTGCTCAGAGCTTACACCTGGCTGTGCTTGGGGACCATATGGGGCGCCAGGGGTTGAGTTCAGGTCAGTTGTATGCAAGGAAACACTCTGTCTATACTATTGCTTTAAATGATTTTTAAATGGTCTCCTTTGCTAGTTTCGGGTTTTTTTTTTAAAGCCCCCCCCCCCCCCCCCAGCATAGTACATAGCATTTACTGGTAATTTAAGACAGTGAATTTAAGACAGTGACTTGAGAAAGCTGATGGTATTAATTTGGGATGCTATTACAAGGCTTAATCTCTCCATTTCTGGAACTTCTGTGAAGGATGTGCTTTTCCCAATAAGTCACATTCCCAGCCAGTGTCTTTGTGTGTTATATATGTTGTAATTCTTCTCCATCCTGGAGACTACTTGAGCTGCATGCTGGACGTTCCTTCTTGAATGTGTAGTAGATGGCTCCAGTTTCACATGCCAAGATACCACTCAGGCCTTCCTGTCACCACGTTCAGCTGTATAGGCCCAGAACTTTGAAGTAATGCCTGATGTTTCACAATCGGCACTGAATACATCTGCAGTTGTTTTCATCTGTCTGCCATCAGAAACTACTGAACTTCTGGCCGCTGCTTTTGTCCTTTTATTCCGCAGCAATGCTTAGGAGTCTCCTGCCTCCGTTTGACTTATTCTCAGTATAGTGGTCAGCTTCTGTTGTGTGTCATCAAAATGCTCTTTTTGTCAGACTTCCTGTTTTTATCAGACTAAAGCACATATTTTAAAGTGTTTCCCATGGGTTAACCTCCGTTTTTTTCTGCCTTAGGAGCCATATGGTGCCAGGCACTGTGACCTGCTTGCATAGCCTGTGCTCAGCCCATTGAACTCCTCCTTGGCCCTTAAAATTCATCCATCCATCCTTCTTTTTCCTCTTCCCCTTCACTCACTTTTCCTTCCCTTCCTCCCTCTCGTCACCAGTGAGCTAATGTATTCCAGTCTAGGCATCTATTGTGATTGGACTTTGCAGTTTCTTCTCTGTTCATATAGCTATTTTGATTTAGGGCTGCACCCAGCTGTGCTCATGGATCATTCCTGGCAGGATACAGGAAACCATGTACAGTGCTAGGGATTGAACCTTGGTTGACCGTATGCAGGGCGAGTGTCTTACTGTCCACACACTTCTCTTCATCTCAGAATGTTGTGATTTTTAGGGCTATGCCCAGAAGTGCTAAGGGTTTCTGGTGGTGCTTGGGGGATGCTGGACATCAAACTCTGGTCAGCCACATGCAAGGCAAACACTCTTCCTGCTGTAC